CTGCTGAGTGAGAGTGCACGCTGCCATAAGCACCACGGAAGTCACAAGCCACTGGCACACGAGGATACATGAGCAACAAATTACTTCCTGTTACAGCTCAGACTGCTTTTTAAACTTTGCACACCTAAACTTTAGAAATTATTTTGTTTTAGAAAATACAAAAGCTGTAGATCTCCAACTCTAGATTTTTGTATTTTCTGCACTTTAATGGCACAGAGGTTTTATTGATTGTAAGAACATATTTATTTGAGAAGTAGCAAGAGAGAGAAAGAGATCAGCTGTCTCCTGGTTCACTGTCTGATTGCCCACAACAGCCAGGACTGAGTCAAGCCAAAATCAGTCAGCCTAGGTCTTCTGTGTGTGCGGCAAGTGTGGCAGGAACTCAGCTGCGTGAGCCAGCGCTCCCTGGTCGGGGTCTGAGTTTGCAGGAAACTGGAATTGGGAGCCAGATCCAGGATTGGAGCTTGGCACCCAGATGTAAGATGTGGATGGTGTCGTGGCTAAGTGAAACAGCCATTCCCCCCACCAACCCCCGAACATATTTTCCAAAGCAAATAATGACCTTCTGGCCACATGAGGCCCAGTGCCTATTTTTGTAAATAAAGTTTTATTGCAACACAAGCACATGCAATTGTTTATGCAGTGTGTGTGGTGACTTTTTTCCTACTGCAATAACAGGGTAGAGGAGTTAAATAGAAAGCACATGGTTGCAAAGCCTGAAATACTCAGTTTTCCTTTATAGAAGCAGTCGGTCAATTTCTGCTCTGAATTATGACCAAAATATAGTAAAGTACCTTAAATGTATTAACAGCTATCCCATTAAAGAGGTACAAATATTTACAATGTTTGATTACTCAGCAGTTAATATAGTTTCGACGTATATTTGTTTCATTGGAAATATGACCTTTTTGCTTTTGTCACAAAGAACATTTGAAAGACATTCCCTTTGGTGCTGGTTTTTCTGCTGAAGTTTCCAACCTTCTCCCAATTGTATTGCTCCTTAACACTTTCCCCTCACACGTTTTTGTTTTAAATGTTGTATTAAATTTGAGGGATGTTAGACTTCCCACTTACGAGCAGCAGCCAAAAAGGTTTTTTTAACTTGGAAATGTTCATTGTCCGTGCAGTTTGCATATTTGAAAAGTAATCACTGCTGAGCAAGGATTATGTCAGCCGATTGATAGTCTTTGACATTTGCTCATTTCATGTGTTGGAGGCTCGGTAATCTCATCTGTTAAATGGGAATCAAACTCGCTCTCTGGGCTTTGTGAAGATTAAGGAAGGAAGGACGTGGCCTGCCACACTTTGGGAATTCCTATTTCCTTTTCTACTGTTCGTGTGCTTACCGGACCAGACGATCCCAAGTCAAAAATACCTTCTGGGATATCTCCAGATTCGTGTTGCTTTTCCTGCCTCAGGTTTGCCCAGAAACCATCAGAAAGTCCCACCGTGCATTTGAGTAAAAGGAGTAGGAGCTGTTACAAAAACCACAAAGGCAGACACTCGGTGCAGGTGTGTCTCCTAGACGCGACCCAGCTAGTGCTGGTTAGTGGGACGGGAACGACAGTGGCTCTGCACTGCCTGTGCTGCTTCTGGGGACTGATCACTGGCCCAGCAGCCCGCTCTACCTCCAGAAGGGCAGCGCTGTCCTCTGGGTGGAGGAGCGGGTCCTAGGGTGAGCCCAGAGGCCCCAGAATCCAAGTAAAAGTTACAGTCACTTCCAGTCCACAGGGTGCTGGGACGTGCAGTCCAGTCTGTGCTCAGGAAGAACTGGACTTGGTGGACATCTGCCCAGACTCTGCCCCAGGCAGGACTTACCTTCCGGAATGGTTGTGGGGCCGTTGCTTAGCACATACACTGCCTTAGGTGCTAAGCATCTACAAGCCTGTCTCCTGCAGGTACCCTTCATGAACTAGCACTGTTCGGAGACACCCGTGATGGTTGGAAACCATTTATCTGATTCTTGGTTAAGTATATTTTAAAAATTAGCCCGCAGTCTGAATCTGCCTCCCACATGTTGTGTGCCATTTAGGCATTTTGGCGTTCTAAAATTACAGATCTATCTCTAGCAAGAAAGCTTAGAAATACGTACTTAAGAAATGTTGCATACAGCATGCAATGACATTTTCATTCCCAGAATGATCTACATGGACTCATATTTATTTTGCTTTTTATTTTTTTTAATATAAAATCAGAACTCACTCTCAGGATCGAGTAGAATTCCTCATCCGAATGGCACATAGAACGTTTGTTGAAATGGTAGCACTGTTATTTAATTCAAATTGCACATTTTATAATGAATCACAATGGAAGCATTTTCCTTTTATCAACACCTCTAATAGAGCTGAGCACACCTTTCTTTAAAAGTTATTCAGTTTAAATTATGATTAGATGAATATTTTAGAATTACAATCACCATTAAACGAAGGACAAAATTTATCATACCAAAATAGAAATTTAATTTAAAGTAGGAAGAACTTGATTACAAGGTTTAGTAGACTAGAAACAAGATGTATGAGGGCATATTAAGGAATTCTTTTTTTTTTTCTTAAGTACAGTTTTACATTCAATTTGAAAGGACACAACTGCATTTATTAATGTTTGTGAGGATCGTGTTTGAGACAGTTTGATGAAAGATCAAACTCTCTTCAGGCTGAAAAAGCACATTAAAGCGCGCTGGTCTTTCCACGAAAACATTCACCTAACATCTTCCTTCACTGTCTTAGAGTTAATGAAGTTGATTTGCGATAGAAGTTGCTCTTAACCATGGTGCGAGCCAGTGGCTTTGGTCCAGGAGTAAGCTCATCCCGGACTCGTGTGATTAAACATAGGCCTTTCTTGGTCCTCGTGTCATTTCCTGCTGCCTGTCACTTCGTCCTTGACTGTTTTTGAGGCGGAAAACGAGTTGTCCAGGTTGGTTTTCCAATCAGCCAGTTCTTATTTTTCTCTGGAGCTTCTTTGTTATGTGAGAGTTCACATTTGCTATTCATGAAACACATTTTAATCAGTGACCATATCAGACAAATGGAAGCTAAGCGCTGGTTAGTACGTTGAAAATAAACATGAGGGTTCTCATTAATGTCGCTGTCTGAATAATTAGTTGAGCATCGAGTCCTGAGCCGCAGTGAGAGCAAGTTGGCTTCTCGCTGGGACGACAGGCTGACAGCCCCGTCTTGGAGTACGGTCATTAGTGTGGCCCGCCATCAGTGTCATGTGTCTGTGTCACATTAGTTAGTGTCCCCTTAGCCAAGGAGCCAGACCTACAAATTATCCTCCCACATCCCTGCAGACTGTATTTGTGAAGCCTGCGATCAAGTGGGAGCAACTTCTTAACACGGCTCATAAATTAACTAGTTTACAGGCTTATAACATTTTACAAGTAGATAATAAAGGGTGGAAAAGTTTTCCAATTGCTTTGCCCTGCTGTGAGGGTTGTGATCAGCTGACTTTTCCTTGAGGAGTCCTCTGCTGATAGACTTTCCCAAGAGCAGCACAACCATGGGGTGTCTGAGCAGTGTTTGCCAATGTAGACTCTAAGAGGAAGCCAACGTTAAGTCCACTGAAGACAGTATCATTAACTTTGTTATCTCATTACTCTGATGAGCGCATGACAGTAGTCACCTTTCTTGTGATGGCACTTGTTCATTAATGAGTCCAGCAATTAGCTTTGAACAGTCACAGCGTCTGCCAACTAAAGTTATCCTAAAAAGTGTTTTTGATGCATTCTTATCCCAGTACCCAGCCCAGCCCAGCCCAGCCCAGCCCAGCCCAGCACAGCACAGCACAGCACAGCACTTGTGAATGATTTTGAAGCCGTGATATCCATGCAAGCAACTTAGGAACATGAGACAAGTGACCCTTAGAACCCTGTGGACAAATGTGGCCTGAGTTTGTCCTGCATCTGGAAAGGGTGTGGCTTGGGCGTGCCATCTCTTATCTCTCTTCTGAGCTCTGGTAGACAGACAACCCACGAAGTTTCTGGAGAGACGTGACTATTCAAATCAGAAAACATCAGTTTCAGGTTCTCTGGCAGATTATGCTTGAAGAAAGCATGCCCCTTCCCAGGGTGGTATGTGGACCTGCTGCTGAACGAGAACACACACATGCATCCTGCAGTCCCTGGTCTCATGCTGTGGTCACATTGCCTACTAAGAGAGCGCGTGAGGGAGGCCTTAGGGGTGGCATTATCATCTCAGAGATCTAGACAGAAAGGAGCCGGCCTGGGCAACTTCGCTGCCGTCAGAGTCGTGTGAAACCTTCTTGAAAGTGCTTACGGAAGAGCTGACCTGTCCGTCAGCAACTTCAGCTTACTTGGAACCAGGTTTGGTAAATAGTCTACTAATAACCCAACTGGGGCAGGAAGGTGTGCAGCCTTGCACGTGCAGCACTGGTTTCTTGAGTTGTTTGTGGCACAAGCCCACAAGCAGGTGGAGAGTGTGGGACTGACAGGCGGGAGAGAGCTTGTGCTTTCCTTGATGGGGAGTGGGGAGGGAACCGTGTGTGTGTATGTGTGTGTGTGTGTATGTGTATGTTTTCCCTACTGCTGCTCCCATAGCATGCAATGAGGGAAACCAAAGGACCACAACTGAAAGCAACGTCGCCGCCTGGGCCCATGGAGCTTCCTGTCCTTGTTCCTTGCAGTGCTTTTCACATTGTGAGGATATAGCTACAGAAATGGGACATAATGCGTGCTCAGTGAGCCAGACTGCTAGGTTAGGGTTAGTGCCCTCATGACTGGAAGCGTCAGTCGGTTGTGGAGCGCATTTGTTTCGTATCATTCCACTGTCATTCTCTAATAGGGACTTCAGGCTCTGCCCCGGACTGAGTGCTGAGCCTTGAAGGAAAGGGAGCCGGTGGACACATAGACACATGATGCTACGCCTGAGGGTTGGGGTGGTGTCTGAGCCGGCGGGGCTCGGGGATGGTATGGCTGTAGCACACACGGGAAGCCTCTCAGCTTGCCCCTTCACTTAACCTTGTGTTTTCTTTTTTCCTTTCAGCGTCCCTCTCTGTGTTGCAGTTTTGTGGCATTATGCATGCCCCCTTCCTGTGACTCCAGGTTTTTTATGGCTGTGAGACACGTTACAAGTTCAGGGTAAGTGGCAACCAGCACTGACACCATGTACCACTTAAGAATTGCCGTGCCGTCCACCTGGGCAGGTTGACAGAGTAGTTGGATGTAGCAAACTCACAACAAATGGTGGCTCATCTCATTACCAGGCACCGATTCTGATGCTCGGAGGCATCTTGCATATCTGCTACTGTCCTCCCTGCTGGCTTTCTTGTTTTAAAAAGGATCCATAACTTGATCCCGATTGCAGGAAGGTGACCTGATGCAGGGTTGATAAACTGTGCATATTGTCACCGTCATGGGCTGTGCCGTCTGTCTGGTGACCAGTCAGCTCTGCTCTTGTAGCACAGAAGTTGCCATTTACAACACATGAACCAATGGCGGTGACTGTGTTCCAGTGAAACATTGCGGATAAAAATGGGCCATGAGCTATAGTCAACCTGAAGGCATTGGTCTGCCATCCCCGATCTAATTGCATCTGAGGGGACACCCGAGGGCCTGAATACTTCCCTGGGTTAGCAGCAGTCCCATCCGGGAGCATACCATCTCCCTGAAAGAAGCAGGCACGAACTACACGTCTGCCTTTCCTACCTCATAGGCTGGAGTCGCAAGGATGAAACCAGATAAAATGTGTGTGAAAATGCTTTGAAGATTTCGACACTCCCTGTGCGAGGCTGCGCACAGTCATTCCGGCTCACCTTGTGGAGTGTGCCTTCCTCACCTTTTTAATCACATTGGGCTTTCAGGCACTAAATGAGTGTGGAGGAAAGCGCTTTTATTTTCTGAGTAATGTGGTTTGTCTGCCAGTTCCTTCTCTTTTACAGTTGATGGACAAGCTGTTGAAATATCTTTTTAGTATCAAATATGGATGAAGGGCCATACGGGTAGATGATGGCAGGCTAAAGATCAAATGCCAATGAAGAGCGATTAAATGTCCTTTAATCATCAGAATCTGAGCGTGCTTTAAGATCTTCCACCTTTAATATAGGCCTTAATAAATAATAATGCTTTGGGTGTCTACAAGTATGTTTGAATTTCACAAGTCATGCATGTCAAAACAGAGAGTCAAGCTAGGCAAACACGCTGCCCTGGACCAGCAGCGCTAATTAAGGGGGAAAGACCTAAACAAACAGCTTAGGGAATAAGGAAGAATCAAACCCTGTTCTGTGAATTGTCTAGGTTTTCCTTTTTGACTTCTAGACAGTCACCATGCAGTCTTTAGACATGCTTTTTCTATCATTGCATCAGCTGAGATTTGTTTTCTAGTAACAGATACAGCCCTGTGAGCCTAAGCAGTCATTTGCGTGTCTTGATCATACAGGCGTCTGGAAGAGCAGGGACTGCCTTCCTTTCGCGGGTTCAACTCTGCTGCTTCCTTCTCAAGGTCATGACATGGCTGCTGGCTCTCTGGCCATTGCCTCTGCATCCCGAGGGAAAGGTACTGATGTGCAAGGAACAGAGGTAGTGCTCCCAGTTGAGGCATATCTCTTGAAAGAGCCTTCCCTGGAACTGTACCCAGTGAAATCTGTAAGGGCGTGTGGAACGTGAGGCTCTCACCTTGAGCACATGTCTGATCCAGACACGCTGTGGATCCTCCCACGAAGGATAAGGTGTGTGGCTCTGAGCTTGCAGTTGTGCTTACTTAATACGGGATCGTGACAGTGAGGTGGTTGATTTTTCTTATTTATTTTTAAACTTTCAGTGATTGCCTTTGTGCATTCTGTTGACACGTCTTGTTTGTTTTATGCCTGTTAGAGCATCAGTCTGTTTGATCCTAAGCAGAGATGCACATCTTAGTAAATACAGTAGGACCGCAGTATTCTTATTGAAAGTGTCATGGCAAACCTGGGCAATCCCTCTTACCCCTAAAAGCAGGCCAATATTCAGTCTCCCAATATTCACTCCCATGTATACCGGAGTGTTACATTCCCATGAATAAATGCTCGTTTCCAGGTCTGAGTACCAGTACCAGTGGGAGGTTCTAGCTACACACACACACACACACACTTGCACCCAGTGCTGTTGGCTGCAACAAGTGCAGGGGACATTGTGATGGCCTTGTCCTGTTCTCTGTTGTTTTGTTGACTCAAGGATAAGATAAAACCATCTACCCTATATTTCTGTCATTCCGCTTTCTCTGCTGAAAGCTTACCTTGGAAGGAACAAGTAAATCACCAATACCTAATTTCCCATTCTACACGCCCCATACATATACTCTGGTAAAATTTTCCATCTCATGGACCAAACAGGAAGAAATCTGCTTGAACTTTAGATTATATTCTCTCTCTTTTCCATCCGGCGATGCTGTTCAGGAAACATGGGTACCTTCTCAGACATGTAACCAATTCCTGCTGTGGATGCCATGGAGCAGCGTGGTGAAGGGTGTCTGCTCTGCAGAAGTTGGGTTTGATTCCTCTGCCCCTACCTACTACCTGGACACCATGGGCAAGTCATTTAACCTCTCTGCTCAGCGGCCTTCTTGCAAATAAAGTCGAAACAAAGACAGGAGCCGGCTGGCTACATGGAATGCGATGCTTTGAGAACTTTGCACAGGCCCTGGTGTTTTAAGAAGTGCCACAGTTGCCCTCAGCAGTGAGGTGGTTGATGAAGAACCCCGTTTGGGTTCATTGGTGGTTGTCATTCTGGTGGGCGGTGTGTGTTTCTCAGGCTGTTGCTTCTCCCCCACCTTCCCTTGCGAACCTCAGTAGAACCTTGGGAAGTGGCCCTGATGCCCATCTTCGAAGGTTCCTACAGCCTGTGTACCAGGGGACATCTGCACTGGCAGAGTTTAGATCTCTGGGTCTCACGTTGATGTGCTGTTCCTGAGAGATAGGCAGTGGTATTTGTTCTTGTTTGTTTCTGTTTTGTTTTTTTGTTTGTTTGTTTTTGCTTAGGCAGACAATATGGTTGCGTCACAGGTGCAGTCAGTAACTTCTTCCAGTTGGTACCACGGATGATCATCTGACACTGCAGGGTTTCGCTTGAGCAGGCTGCTTCTATGTGGTGTCAGTCTTCTACCACATGCCTGTCCCTGTCCCTGTGCTGACTGTGCAGCAGAAGGCCCTGGGTGCCCACAGTGTTTCATGAGAAAGACTCTCAAGGCACAGTATCGTTGCACACGTAGGTTGCTGCTTGACTGTGGGGAAGATTACCATGCGGTCTGTGGATCTCCTAGTTGATCCCAGCACATCCCCATGGTTGGGATGCAGTGGTAACCCCGTGACTGCCTGCCCATCCTGAGTTTTTGAGAAATGTTGGGTGAAATGGATGGGAGTCGCATTAACTCTACTTGGGATCCTGCAATCCATCATTTCACTGACAGTGATACAACTCCCCCCGCCCCCAACACACACCTCTTATGGACACCGAGCCCCATGTTTCTTGGGACCTGTCTTGAGCCTGCCTCTGACATTACTTGGATCAAGCCCACTCAGTAAGGATAGTGGCCTGAAGATCTTGTCTGTTCAGAAGAATGGGAAATTTCCACAGTTTGCATAAACGCCCTTGCAATGTGCTGATGCCATGCCATGTCCTTGCCTCTTGACCACGGGCTCAAGGCAGTCTGCCTGGACTGACTGCAGTATATTCTAGAACGCACTTCTTTGAGTCCTTCAGTGCTCAGTTTGGACAACATCTCCTTAGCTAGGTCCTTGCTGGCCACCCATGTTAAAGGAGACCCCCTTCCCATTTCTCCTTGTTCTTCCTCCAAGCCTCTTGTTTGTTTCGGGACTTACAGCTGCCATCACTTGGTGAAAACACCTGTTAGCCAGACATACTGTGCAAGCAGCGGGTCTGTTTCATTTTTTTGGGGGGGGTTTCCTGGGATTAACAGTGCCTGATGTTTGGCAGACACATGTCCATTCAGGGTTATTGATCAGTCACTGTACCGTTGGGGAGTTCCCTCTGAATTTCTGTATTTTCACAGTGCCTGGGAGGGCTGCCCCGGGTGAGGAAGTGATGGGGGGGGGCGGGGTAAGGCTGCACATGTCATCATCACTGTAGGAATCAAAGCCTGCCCTGAGGTTTTCTGTAGGAGTGTCCAATGAACACTGCTACAGACTTTGCTGCTGCTGTATTCCAATCGGAAGGTGTTGTATGCCGGTTCCCCGTGAAGATAGGATCATTTGCCATTTGGGCCTAAAGCATCCCCGGGGTGGAGGTGCAGATGAATTAAGAATGTTGGATTGAAATAGTTGATTTTCTGATTGATGACTGTTGCATACTTTCACCCCATCTTCGATTATACAAGCCACAAATCTCCCCCACTGCAGTGGTTCAGTGGTGGGAGCCTGACCTGTGTCCCCAGAACCGTGAAAACTGAGAGTTCAGGGTGTTGCACTGTCCTTAAGCTATCTTACTGGGAATTGGCTTCACCTTTACATGGATCAAAGCTGGTTGGATCTCCTGCCTTGTCATAAAGAGGGTTTCAAATTCTTGTAATAGGTTCTCCTCAGTTTTCTGTTTTAGAAAGTGCACTAGATATATCTGTCCTGAAAAATGCACACATTGCTCTTAATTGAAAATCCAAGCCTGTATAGACTGAAAGGAGTTAGATATAAATATCTCTCTTTGTTAACATCAATTTCTTTCACCCGCTTAAAGACGGTGGTCTATTATTTGTGCTGCATTGTTCTGTCATGTCAGTGGTTGACATGTGTTGTTCGTTGTGATTTTGTGATGTCAAAGTTAAAAGCACAGGAAGGAGCAGGCATTTAGCCTGTTGGTTAAGGTGCCCACGCCCCACGCCCCACGCCCCGCGTCGCACACAGAACACAGCTTCAGTTCCTCGCTGTGTCCATGGCTCCAGCTTCCTGCCAGGGTGAGCCTGGGAGGTACTGGGGATGACTAAAGTCATTGGGTCCCTGCCACACGTGGGAAACCTGCTTCAAGTTTGCAGCTTCCTGTGTCGGGACCCGCTCCTGGAGGCCTTTGCTGAGTGAACTAGTGAGAGGAGCTGGGTCTCTGTGTCCGTCTGTTTCTCTCGCTCTCAGAAAAAAAAAAGAAAAGAAAAAGAAATGCAAAAA